GCAGAGAACAGATTGCACCAGGGGAAAAAAAAAAATCTGCTAAAAATACCACCTCTTCCTCTAGTTCTCACCCTCCATCTCTCCATCCCTCCTATCAGCACACTCACACACACACACACACACACACACACACACACACACACACACACACACACACACACACACACACCATTTGTTTTTATCAGCATACATTAACATGACGAGCACTCAAGCCAGCTGAACTCAGAGAGGAAGTTCAGGAGTGGGCGGAGAGAGGGTCGTGAGGTCACCACAGAGAGTCCAATCATCGATGAGGAGGGCAAGACACGGACGCCTGAGTCTGTGTGTGTGTGTGTGTGTGTGTGTGTGTGTGTGAGTCTGTGTGTGAGTCTGTATGTGTGTGTAATCCGTGGCTCAATCTCACCTACTATTTTAAGAATCTACTCCCTCTCTCTTCACTCTCTACTGCTCTCTTTATCTGTCTCTACACAGAAACTATACTCTGTTATACTCCTGGGGTTCTCTGCTGCACCCTCCCCTACCCAATCTATCCCACCACACACAAACACACACATAAATATATATACATATATATATATATGAACAGGATATACTTTCGCTGGAAGGCAGAGAGCTGTTTCTATTTATAACCAGGTGTGAACACACACAGGTGCAGGTGAAAATCACTCTTATCGGGCAGCATGTGAGTGAGTGTATGTGTGCGGAGAGGTTAATTGAGGAAGACACTGTGAGTGTTTCCCATGTTTAATCAATACAAACAAATAGAGAAGACAGAAAATGAGAACAAGAGAGAAATGAGGAAAGTTCTGCGAAGTCTATTAAGTAACTTTCTGGGAAAACAGGAAGACCTCTGTCTCCACGTTTGCCCTCTTTTCACAGTAATCTCTCCATCGCACTCTGTGGCCTCTAGTTTCAGTGATGCAAACTGGCAGTCATGGCACAGGATGGAAGTACACTGTGTTTCGTTCAGCCTGCAATCACTGATTTCATGGCCACTTGGGGGCAATGGAAAAAAAAGTTGTGAACATGACATTAACATATCTTCTCCTTTTTTAAGTTGATATATTTATATATATATCTCTACCAGCTCCTGAGGGAAATATCTGGTTCTTCAGCCACTGAATGCTCCACTATTTTTACCAGCTTGTCGCTAACTTTGTCTGTCTGCTGTTAGCTTGTTTACCATTTTTACTGTTAGCTGCCTACTGTGGCTGAAAACACACTTTGAGAGCACTGAGACTGACCCAAACAGTTAGACATTTGTGTGATAATTCTCTGTAGATGCCCCCTTTCATATTGTTTTATACAATGTTATCATAAAAATATGAGTTACAGTATATCCACTTTAAACTTATTGGAAATCACAAAATACTAAGAGATATCCCTCCTTGTTTTGAATTCAGAATTATTGATATAATAATAAAAACAATAAAATAGATATCTGATTTTAATTTAATTTCTTTTATTATTCAGCACTTGTTGAAAGCTTTTCCCACCTGGATAATTCTCCCATTTGTCATGCAGACCTGCTGAATAATATAAATCATCTCCTGCTACTTCCATGGCGGAGAAATAACATAGGTATGATTAACCTCAAAATTTCACATCAGTTTTTCAATGGACGCCATGGTTAAAGTTGAACTAATCAGTATTTACACACTGACAATGGGTCAAATGACTATGTGTAATGTGAAAGGTGACGCTCTTATATGAACCCACGAGGAATTATCAGTGATCTACAGTTCACCTCAGCTCTACAGAGCATTGTATCACCTTTCTGCTCTTTGTTTTGGTTTTAAAACCTGCAAAAAAAAGTTCCATATAGCCAACTGTACGCACCAAACAGCAAACAGCCAGCAAATAGCCAACATCGTCAATTTGCTGTTGAACAATGTGGAACATTTAGCAGCTAAAGAGCTGGATATTTCCATCAGGAGTTGGTGGAGACTAAAAACTGAGCAAACAGAAGAATGAAAGTGAATCTTTGAAATGAATGCTGATGTTGCTTTGTATAAGATGGATGTTTTAAAGAGGTAAGTGTTTGTTAAGTTCACCATATCAACTTTATGATTGATGGCTCTAAATGGCTCTTTTCAAGATCTATCTAAACTATCATAAGGTTTATGATTGAAGCGCATTACTTTTAATCAGCCCCTCCCTTTTCCAGATTCGCCAGCACATAGCACCGTGCCACACCGTCATGAAACTAGAGGCCTGTGTGTATGTATGTGTCTAGATGTGTGTTTAATTTCTTTCTTATTCTTTTATTGTATTGTTTCATCAGTAGAATAGTGTGTTGTGGTGGTGGTCTTACCCTCGGTGGAGGATCCAGACAGATCAATGACCACATACACCTTCCCCTCCGGTTCCAAGTCAATCTGTGCAGACGAAAGAAAAAGAAACAGAGAGTAAGTGAGTGAGAAATAACACAGCTGAACAGTGAGCGCAGCAGGGGGGCTTTCCTCCAGCGCAAACAAACACACCAGTGCACATGGGAGAGGTCATTATCTTCACCAGCATTACACTCCCCCCCCCCCACTCGTATCATTATCAGCATTAACATCAACATCTTTATCACTATTTTCATTACTGTCCTCAACATCATCACCGCAGCTCCCGTTGGCTCCTGGTTTTAAACCGTATCTTGGTGCATTATCTGGAGGATTTCATATAAAAGAGGTTTGCATTTACATCTGGTGTTTATAAGCTTTCCCAGTTATCTTGATTCTGCCCCTTGTGATTTGATCTCGATGAGCAAATCCGGTGGGCAGAGCTGGCAGACTTCTCAATGAACATGACAAGCGGATGATGGGATGCTGCTGCATTGGCTCAGCTTATTTGTCCTTTGCTGAGGAAGGGGTCATCTCTAGCTTTTACCGCTTTGCTTGCTTAAGAAAACAGAAAGAGGTGAACCTCGAAGACGGTTCAGCTTGTTTGGACAGGTCTTTGGCATAGCAATTTACGATTTTACGTCTTTTCACATCAGAAATACCATCCTTCTCCTTATCCAGGTATCATATACAGCTACAAATTGCATGTAAGTAGCAGGCGTGAATGGGGTCATAGACACCAGTATAATCACCACCACCAACATGGTACCTGTTGGTGGTGTCTGTTAAATGATGAAAATAGAGATGCAAAAATGTAAAATAAAAAAATAGGTCAAAGGCAACTCACAGCTCAACTAGTATCACCTAAAGTAAAGGGGAGATATCTTTTACAACATCTAGATGTCAATTTAATCCAATACAAGCGATCAAGCCACAGTTTATTTCATGGTAACGTGAACAATAATGTATTTATTCTCCTATCTAACACATGCTGCAATCACTTAACCGTTACTGTAGAACTGAGACATCCTGTTGCTGGGTAGATAATACTGACCACCTGGTGGGTGCGGGACGAGCTCATTTTCATACAGAGATTTATGAGGTATAACATCACCTGTCTGCATATTATCATAGTTAATATTACATTATTATTAACCAAAGCAGCAATAAAAAGATTTTATTATTATTTATTTACATTTAGAAACACAAAGTATATCAATTAACGCTGGTAAAGAACTCATATCCATCCTCAACAGAGAGTCAAATTGTCTTCCTAGACACAATGTTGTGAGTTTGCGGCCAACAAATTTGCAGCATTACATGTCGGGCACAGTAATGCTTGTGGAGTCTGAGCCAAACCTCTTCTCTCTGTGTCAACACACAGTAAAATGGTGAGAATTAATATCTTTTGTTATTCTAACAGGGATGTTAAGATTTGCCAAAACACAGACTAGTTGTTGGAGGATCAAGCTGATGCAATAAGGAATGATGTCACTACTAGATAAACAGTACCTTTGTTATAAATCCATTAATCCTCTACATACATGGGATAAATTATATACAACTGAAATGAATGGATTTATCAAAACTACAGCTGATTAAATGGCCATGTTTATCTTTATTAATCATTATGGTGTCATTAATTCTTCCTGTTGAAAGATATTCATGATTGAATTACAAGTCTTAATGAGCGCTGCTTCAGCATGCAGGTGTCGTCAAAATGGAGGCTCCTTCATTCTGGGAATTTCATATTCACAGAACTAAAATAAATGTTCCTGCTCAAACACCACCGGATAAGCAAACATACAATGCATATACACACAGACTTATTCAACAAATAATGACATCATCAGCCCCCCCCCCCCCCCCCCCAACAATATACATGCAATTACGGAGATTAGAGAGAGTGCGACAGAGAGCGCTAGAGACGGCCGACACAGGAAGAGAGAGAGAGGGAGAGAGAGTGCTGGAGAGAGTGAGAGAGAGAGAGGTTTAAATCCTTAGTTAAGCTCTGGGACAGCAGCAGATCCTCTTATGCAACAGCCAGACTCACACACAGGCAGCGGCAGCACAGACATACGCTTCCATGCATTGCTGAACATGAGACACAAAGATCGCACAGAAACAAACGTGAAACTGCACAAGTGCATACCATAGTTTAGCTGCATATATATTCTTTTGTTATAGGCTACTCTATGACTGATTGAAACACAGCACGGCACCATTGAATAAAAAATTATTGTGTGAAGAAGAAACAGTGTGCTGATCCTATCATTTGATATTTGATATCTTATATCGATTCTTATTTTCCTGCTGCGTGTTTTGTGCTGCAATGAATTAAACCCTACAGTTGGTATCCAATACCCGGAAGGAGAAACATTAATTTTATTTATAGTTTGGTAAAATCAAAGGAAGAAAAATAATCTGTAACTCTTTCAATAACTGAACAATTTAATATATGTATGTAATACATGTTTTTCCAGCCACTGAAACTAGTGAGAAATGCCAAATACTCTCTTCTTCATTGTAAAGGGAAGTTTTGGACGTTCGATTGAACAGAACAAGAAGCTGGGAAGTTTTTTCAAGGTGTTTTCACATTTCATGAACTGATCATGAGAAATGATTGTTTGGAAAAGCAAAAGTTAATGAAAATAATCGTGAGTTGCAGCCTTAATGAGAAGGAGTCTATCTCAAGCCAAATACACTAAAAGAATGTGGAATGTATGAACATGCACACGTTATCATTCTTTTGTTGTATGCATAACACATAACAACCGCATGGGATTGGTGACCCATAAACGCCATTGGATTCTTGATGTGTACCCTTGAAAATGTTGTGCTAATCCCCAAATGCAACCTCTTGCATAATGGCGTATCTCAGCGAGGATTTCAGCTGAAAGATGGACTCAGAGTGATTTGGAACAGAGTGGAGCAAATGGACGGCACCACCATTGATTTAGCGCTCGGGTCCTGAGGTGGCATGCCGGCCAAAAAAAAAAAAACTGCACTGTTCTCACATCACCAGTTACTGGCCAGTGGAGCTGTGAAGTGCCTTCAAGCTCATTTTTCATATCCAAAGCAATGAGAATTACTACTACACAGATCTGGGTTTTTGAGGATGATTTAAGACTGTGCCAGTGTTCGATATCACGCCAAATAAAATCTGAAATAAACACAGGCTTTTTATGTTTCTCTTGACTTTTATTCTTGGCAGGATGAAAAATCTCTTCTGCTGCATTTACACCATCATTTAATAGTACAATATTTTTGATACATTAGATAGGTAAGATGTAACCCAGAATGATCACAGCTTTGGTTATACGATCACTAATGAAGCTGTTAAATACAATGAAATGACGTGTGGAAATTTGTTCAGTCGCACCCAAATGGTACATTAGATTAAATTCTTCTCAAAAGGCTGCCAGTGGCCAGTGTAGTACTGATTACTTAGTGGTAGTACAGTAAAACATCACAGAAGTTAATTGAACAAATGTTAAAGTACCTGAGTGTGAGTCCATTCAGAAATGACGTAAGAATCAATAGCGAATGTATAACATTGGAAATCCTCATTTAACCTAAACAAACAGATGATTCAAATATCTGATACTGATGTAAGCTACGCATGTTTCTATGGTTACTGCTCCAGTAAAGTGTAGCCACGTATCCTAGCAACAGACGTTTCTAATGCTGCTTTTATTTGTATATTTTTTTAAATAGGAGCTTGTAATATAGTGTAGCTTGTAAAAGAATTGCTTAAAATGAAATACAAGAGATATTAGTAGATAGTATTTGTGACCTCGGTAGAAAATGGGTCCATGTTAGAAAACAATAACACTAGAGGTAAGAGAGAAAACATGTCTTTTGTAATCTGGGGGAACTGACCCTCACCCACAGATTTCTGTTGAGATCTTCATTCATGACAAGGTGTGTTACATAACCTAGAAGTTGGAAGCCCACTATAAGGAATTAAACATTTACAAATGGACTAGAAATCACAGGGGTCAGAGCTGGTGTGATCCCATGGTTTGCAGTTTTACCTCATGTCTTAGAGCAGAAGGGAATGAATGAAACTGGGATATAGTAGATCTGAAACAAATGTGGGCCAGGGGTGTAAAGCGGGTGGCCAATGGCCCCTGCCTTACTCCCGGCCCCCCTACTTGTGGCGCCCTTGTTCAGGCCACACCATCTTCAAACTCGACCTTCATTTTGATCCCATCCATTGGCCTGTAAAGTTTTGACTGTGCCCTGCACGGTTGTGACACTGTTGTGGAGACCAAATCTGTTCACGCACAGACACACAGACAGACAAACGCCAAAGTGCTCAAAACCGCATCTGTGGTAGGTCCCACTACAGCAGGTGTTTCCAGAACCACATTTTGCCATGATGACACACACACACACACACACACACACACACACACACACACACACACACACACACACACACACACACACACACGCACACGCTGGTAAGAGTGTGTCAACATATTCTGGAAAATTCATTTTTAAGTGCTTAACATGCAAAGTATCAGCTCATCCCCGATAACTGATCAGCTCGAGGCAAACCTGGGGCAAATGGTATTTTGGCATAAATATTTAATATTTTAATTTTGACCTATTGAGGTGCCAGATAGAAGAACCATTGAGCCACAAACGTTAGGCAATAGAATCCTTTTTCACAGTAGACACACTTTGAATTTTCATTGTGCGAAAGGCAAAGTGCAACTAATAACATTAACGATTGTTTCTTTCACTTGCCATACAAGTGAGCCAGCATTCACAATTACAGGGTTTGTGCTTAGGACACCTAAATGGAAAGTTACAGCTGTATGTCCTTTGTGAAAAAAGGTGTATATAATAATAACTGTGAGTATTAATAAAACCTGTACAACTTGCTTTCCATTAGTTGTACTAGAACCATCATGTTTGTATTGTACATTCAGGCCTCATGTCACATTGAAACATACCAGAGCCATCAGTAATGTTAGTAATTACACCTGTATACCTGGTTTAGCCCTTTTTACCTCATTATTTGATGTCTTGGTTTG